CGGGGACAAAGGCGATTCTGAGGAAGGGTCAGCGGACCCAAAACATTAACAGTGATTTCTCTTCACAGATGCTGTCAGACCTGCTGAGGTCTTCCAGCAATTTTTATTTTTGTGACAAAGGTGACTGCCCATATAAGAGAGACAGAAATTATTTCTTCTCAGAGGGTCAAGTGCCTTTAGAATTCCCTTCCTCAAAAAGCAATGGATGCAGAATCTTTAAATATTTTTAAGGCAGATTCTTTTGGGCTAAGAGGATGAAAGATTATGTTGGGTATGCAGCAATGTCAAGTTGAGGTTAAAGTCAGATCAGCCATCGTCTTATTAAATGGTAGAACAGGCTTGAAAGGGACAAGTGGCTTACGCGTGTTCCTGTCTCGTATGCTCAATTCATTCAAGGAAGTTGACATTGCTGGCTTGGCCAGCATTTATTACCCATCCCTAATTCCCCTCAAGAAGATAATAAGTGAACTGCCTTCTTGAAACACTGCAGGCCATTTGGTGTTGTAGACCCACAATGCTTTTAGGGAGAGAGTTCTTGGATTTTTGTGATTGGCTTGGAGGGGAATTTGCTGGTGGTGGTTTTCCCATGTATCTGCTGCTCTTGTCCTTCTAAATGGTATCGATCGTGGATTTAGAAGGCAATGTCTAAGGAGCCTTGCTGAATTTCTGCAATGCGCCTTGTAGATGGTGCACACTGCCTCAACTGTATGGGTGGAGGGAGTAGATATGGTGCCAATCAGCAGGCTGTTTTATCCTCGATGGTGTCAAGCTTCTTGACTGATGTTGGAACTTCACTCATCCAGGCAAGTGGGGTGTGTACATCACACTTCTGACTTGTGCCTTTCAGATGGCAAAAAGGCTTTGCCGAGTTACTTGCTGCAGTATTACTAGCCTCTAACCAGCTTCATTATGTTTATTCCACCAGTCCAGTTTTTTACCTGGTCAATGGTGACCCCTCAGAATGTTCAAGGTGGGCAATGCCTTTAAATGTCAAGGGGCAAAAGTTTGATTCTCTCTTGTTGGAGATAGTCACTGCCTGGCACATGTGCAGCACAAATGTTACTTGCCACTCATCAGTCCATGTCTGGATATTGCCCTAGTTTTACTACGTTAGGACATGGTCTGTTCCAGTACAGGAGGAGTCACAAATGCTGCTGAACACTGTGCAATTGTCAGCAAATATCCTTATGTCTGACCTTACGATGGAAAAAAGATGAAGCAGGTGAAGTCATCTGGGCCAATGACACTATCCCATTGACACTGACACTCCTGATGTACTGAAGATGAGATGGCTGACCTCCAACAATCGCAATCATCTTCCTTGTGTTAGGGATGATTCAACCAGCAGAGAGTTTTCTCCATAATTCCTATTAACTCCAGTGTTGTCAGGATTCCTTGATGCCACATTCAGTCAAATACCCTTTGATAACAAGGGCGGTTACTCCCATCCCAGCTATTACAATCTCATTAACTCCCATGGGTATTGCAATTTTTTTTTCTCCCATTCCAATTCTAGCAAACTTGCATATCATGATTTTTTTAAACATTGTAGGAGGTTTCTAAATGCTTCAAAGCTTCATTATCAAACAAAGTTTGCAAGAACTCCATTCCCTTCTAAGATTCTCAATCTCTGTTGTATCCGCTGTGATACTGATTTCTGCACATGATCTTTGGTAATTTACTGATTCCTCACCCAAGGATCCCATACTACCCTATTAAGCAGAATTTTTGTTACCCCATCGTGTTCCAGGATATCCAACACCTTACCACTGATCTCCCACCCCATTCACTTTTCAGAAAGCTTATGATTTACATGGTTATGTCACTGCATCAGAGAGACACATTGGGACAACATATCTACAGCTATGGACGATGTAAAAGACTGGAAGTTAATGAACTGCCTGGGCACCTTGATGAAATGGGGCTGTTTTTCAAAAACAAACCAAGGGAGAAGGGAACCCATGCCTTTTTAGGAAATATGGTCATCTCAAAGTGGACTTTAGGTCACCTGCTGCTTCCAGAAAGTCAAAATGACTTCAGAAGAAACAGCCATGTAAAGCTTTTAAGAAGCTAAGAGATAGGGTTAATACTCCTTATTTTCTGAAAAACCCAGCTTTGGAAGAGACAAGGGGCACCTGAGCTGACAGTTGTCCAGTGATTATTTTTGGGTTTAGTTTCTGTTTCAAACATGCACAGGGGCAAAAGGAAGAAAACTTCCAAAGCTTCTTGCAGAGCTGCAAGTCTCTCTCCCCATCTCTTGAAATAATCGGGAACCCAATAATGTTTCCACATCTCAATGTTTGACTGCTTGTAAACCCTGAGAAGCTAACCTGTGACCATTTTCCAAACACTTGAAACCAGCTTGCTTTTCATCCAAATTGTAGCTTTTTTTTTTAAGAAGACCTTCCATTAGCCTATGGCTGTCAGCTACAAGATGTCCACAGTCCACAGAAATCCAGTGGAATACAAGGATTCATTAATTTCTATCCTTTGTTTTTCAGACCATTGGCCAATAAGTGTCTTTTCTTTTGCTCGGCACAGTCTTTGTTGTACTGTTGAGTGTGTGTTTATTTTGGGATTAAAAGGGATATATAGTTCTAGCTCCAGGTTATAGCTTTGAGGTTACCAAGTTTTGCCACTTGTTTTTAGAAATTAGTTTTGTGGTATCTTAAACAGGCTAGTTTTGAATTCATTAAAGAAACCTGGTGAAAGTCTCTTTTATTCTGGATAGGAGTACAAAAGGGAAACAACACATTTATACTTATGGTACCACTAACATAGCTTGACAACCAGCACAATCCTCCCATCCCAGTCGTAACAGGCAGATTAACTGAACATTTCGCTGAACGCCTCCTTTCTGTGAGCAAGTTAACTCCAAGCACCCCATTGCATTCCGCAAATTCTATGTCCCACTCCAGATCTGTCCTGGGCCTTCTGTACAGTTCCAATAAAGCTCAAAAAATGCTATGGAGCCCTTTGGCATTGGGGGTTGAGTTTCAATGCCCTATTCATTAGAAAAACTAATTTTCTCCATATCATTCACCTTTCTGGCACCTCCTCAGCCATAAATTTCACACTCAACTGCACACAAACGTCTACCCAACACAAACTGTATGGCTTGCAATACATTTATAGAATTTTTACAGTACAGAAGACCTTTTAGCCTATCATGTCCATGCTGATCCCTGTAAGAAACAATTCATAACTGACTCTCCCCACATCCCTACACAATTCTCCTTTTCACATATTTAGAATATATGAAAATTTTACAACTCTGTAGGGGGCTTAATGTACTGTGGCTGACAAATGAGAAACCCAACCTATTGCCTCTTACCAATAAACCCAGAGGTGGTTGTTCTTCTCTCCATGCCCACTCCTTCAGTGAGCAGATTAAGTATTCTCAATCACAAGTCCCTCCATACTCTATCTGCTCAATCATTGCTTCTGGGCACTATGTGCTCCCATTCTTGAAGCCTTCAATTTCAACATCAGTTTTTGAACTTTCTGCTGCCATAAAGCTGTATTATGAAATTCTTCTTCGAAAGCCTTTGGCCTGGCTTTATCTTTCTCCAACTCCTAGAGTCTTCAAAACTTGCCAAACCTTCTACCCTATCTTCTAACTTTTTCATTCACTTCCCTTGTGAAATGACTGTGTTGTGTTGAACTCTACGGAAGTAAAAGTTGAGATTGTTAAAGAGCAGCCAACGGAGAAAAAAAGGAAAAGGGGCAGGACATTAGCTCTCTAAATAGATCTGAATATTGTACACCCCTACAGTAGCGACAAAAACTCTCGCATCACTTTTGTAGCAAAAAGGTCACAAATTATGCACTCCTAAGCTTAGACAAGTTATAGCCTTGTGCCGAATGCATCTTTTATTAATCACATATCTTGCAGACAAAACTGCATTTGAAATCAAAATGTGAGCTACTTAACAACAGATGCGTACTGCAGAATGCAAGCGAAATGTAGCAAAACTTCCCGGTAGAAAATGTGGGTTCAGCACTTTTTAAAAAGTGTCAAAACAGAAATGAATGCAGTTGTTTGGGTCAGTACAATAATGGGACGACTAACCCGAAACCTAAAAGCAACAGCTGCGTGAGCTAAATTACTGCATGTAAACTGATGGACATGCAGCACAGCTCGGGAACGGGGGAATGACATTCGAGCGAGTCAATTCAAGTGATTGCAAAAACGAGAGATCGGATCCACAATTTTCAAAACCACAGCAAAACAAAACATTGCACTCATTCGCCTAATGGCAGCAATCAAACCTTAACTATCCGTCAAAAAGGGATTTTCGATCTTTTTGCTTGTACGAACAAACCTCCCAGTTTCAGTAAAACTGCATAAGCAAGCTGTTGCAAGCGTCTGAACAGTAATCCCGAAATTTAAAAGCACGACAGAGCAATAACTTCATTCAAAAAGTCCCCAATAAAATGAAGTTTGTTTTGTGCGGGGGTTTTAAAAAAAATGAAGTTTTGCAAACCTCAGCGTGATAACGTGGGCGAGGCGAATATTAGCCGCGGGTCTTTAAAAGCGGAATGACTGGATGCTTTACACGCCGCTGCTGTCAAGACACCGTTACACAGCCAGTGGCAAAGGGAATAGAGAGATCCGCTCAGAAAGAAAAACAACTAAAAAGAAACTCACTATCCCTACTGCAAACACAAATCAGATGGAGGAATTGGATGGCGGGCACTCAATCTTCAAGGGGATTTCTTTCCGCTCCTGTACTATTTGGCAATTCCAGACAAGGCATCATTAATCACACGTTGCAGGGAGGAGGAAAATGCAAAAGAATATTAAAACCACAAAAAAATTAGTAAAAATCAGGAATCTCCACTCAAAATGGCGCCAGCGCTGGTGGGGAGAGATAGACAGCAGGAGTAAAGGAGCCCCCCCCTCTCTCTCCCTCCCCCGCCCATCGGCCGGTACGATAGTCCCGGAACCGACAACCCGTACGCAATATCGGCATGAGGCGCCTGCCCACAGCGGTTACCTGCTCGGAGCTGCCGGCTCTCCCTCCCGCTGTTGCCGTGTGATATTCCCCGTCCGCCCGGGGGGAGATCACCCGCACCCTCGGTGCCGACAGCGGTAAACACACCGCGCGCGCACTCACACTTCACACTTGAAATTTCACTCGAGCGCGCGCTAAACTGACTGAGGATCCACGACGGCTGAGGGGGGCGTGGCCGAGCGGCGGGCATCATACACCAAGGGGGCGGGGCCGAGCGGCGGGAATCTTTCCGAAGGGGGCGGGGCCAGGCCGCGGGCATCATTCCCAAGGGGGCGTGGACGGGAGGCGGCCATCAATCTCCCTGAGGAAGGCAGGGCCGAGCGGCGGACGTCCTCCTCTGATGGGGGCGGGGTGAAGCTGCTGGTATCACCCCCACCTGAAGCCAATCACTTCCTCTCTCTCTCCCTTTAACAATCACCGTTTGGCCCAAAGCTGCAAGAGGCGCAACCTATTGGCTGGAATCTGTGTGTGACGTTGATCGCTGTGAATCACTACTTTGCGAGTGGTTCAATTTTGTGTCAATCATCGATTCCGCGACAATTTGAGATATTCTGGGCGGGGGGGTAAACTCTTCATTTTACACCGTGCCAGGGAAGGAAACTAAAGAAGTGACAGTCTGATTGGGAAGCGTTTTAATTGGAAATTCAAATCTGTCAAAACCAAACCACGTTATAGCATATGGGCGTCAATCTAGGATGTTGTAATGAATTAGTTGAAACTCGCTGCAATAAATTTTGAGTTTACACTGAAGAGTCATATAGTTGCCCCTCGAGTCCGTTTTAAATCTTTCTCCTCTCACCTCCTTGTCTATCCTTTCACTTTCCGCGGTTCATTTCCAAACTTCTTTAAATTCGGAATGTATTTTAAATCGCTGGGTTGTGTTATTTCACTGCTGTTTGTGTCTTTTTGGCTGCAGTTTCATCTAATATAGTCGTCCTTTGTGGCCAGTGATTCCTACTGCTTCTCGCAATTACATAATTCGAGTAAATTGTTATTATGCAATGAATATATTTTAAAAATTAAAAACATAATCACCGACAACTAAGGTAATGCTAGCACCCAATTACCGTCCGTACGAAATTGGAAAGTCATATTTTCCCTAAATCTTCTCATTAACAGCTGAATTGAACAATAATTTTGTCGTTTACATTTAACAAACAAAATTTGTACTGTGAACTGTAACAATAATTTGTAATTGAACGCTTGACTGCTAATTCGCGTTGACAGCCAAGTCTCTAATACCCACGGGCAATGGAGCAAAATAGCAGACTGGCTTGTCATGTCACAAAGGCCTTTCCAGTGAAAATAAATACAATATTTCTTCTGAAAAGCATGTTCGATAGCCAGTAACAATTCATTTACACGTTTCATTGGTTCAATTCCGAGTTTGTAATCAATGTTAATGTGAGCTATTTTTGTATCTCGGGGCTACCCCTCTGGGCCCGTTGCTAATAACAGGTTGTTAACATGACGCAGTTTCACCAGGTCATGTAATCAACCGAAACAAAAAATAGCAACAGATGAAAATCGAAAAGGAAAAATTACAACAGACGTGGCAGAACGACAAGCATCATTGACCTGGAGTTTCTTCTGCCTTTCAATCCGAATATACCTGTAACTTAAGCACAAGACAGTTACGAAGTTTAAAACAAATCTGTATGTATAATCGAGGTTCGCACGCAACTTCAATTTGTCTCCATGATGCCTTCATATACTATATCTATGCATCCAACCTTCAACATAAATACCCTCCCGCCACTAAAAGGGCAAGTACATCCAGTTCACAACAGAAGTTGCTGGAAAAGCTCAGCAGGTCTGGCAGCATCTGTGATGGAAAAAACAGAGTTAACGTTTCGGGTCCGG